TCCTTCCTCCCTTCCTTCCTTCCTTCCTTCCTTCCTTCCTTCCTTCCTTCCTCTCATTCCTTCCTCTCATTCCTTCCTCTCATTCCTCTTATTCCGAAGCGGGGGTTGCAGCTTGAGCAGGGAGACCCAGACATCTCTTTCTACATCCAGCTCTTCTGGGAGGATTCCAAGGTGTTCCCAGGCCAATCGAGAGACATTAGTCTCTCCAGCGTGTCCTGGGTCTTCCCCGGGGTCTTCTCCCAGTTGGACATGCCCGAAGCACCACTCAACGGAGACGCCCAGGGGGCATCCTCACCATTGCCTGAACCACCTCAACTGGCTCCTCTCGACATGGAGGCATAGCGGTTCTTCTCTGAGTCTCTCTCGGATAACTGAACTTCTCACCCTATCTCCAAGGGAGAGTCCAGCTACCCTGCGGAGAAAACTCATTTCTACCGCCTGTATACGCAATCTCATTCTTTAGGTCAATACCCAGAGCTCATGAATATAAGTGAGGGTAGGAAAATAGACTGACAAGTAAACAGAGAGCTTTGCCTTACAGCTCAGCTCTCTCTTCACCACAACGAAATGGTACAGAGTCCGCAGTACTGCAGATGCTACACCAATCTGTCTGTCAAGCTCACCCTCCATTCTTCCCTTACTAGTGAACAAAACCCTGAGATACTTGAACTCCTCCACTTCAGGTGGAATCTCACCCTTGACCTGAAGAGAGCAATCCATCCTTTTCTAGTTGAGAACCATGGCCTCAGATTTGGAGGTGCTGATTCTCATCCCAGCTGCTTCACACTCTGCTGCGAACCACTCCAGTGAGAGCTGAAGATCACGGCACAATGACACCAACAGGACCACATCATCTGCAAAGAGCAGAGATGGAATCCTGAGGCCACCAAACTGGAAACCCTCCCCTAGCTGGCTGCACTGAGAGATTCTGTCCATAAAAGTTATGAGCAGAATCTGTGACAATGGGCAGCCCTGACGGAGTCCAACTCCCATCCTGAAGGGATCCGACTTACTGCCGGCAATGCGAACCAAACTCTTGCACTGCTTGTATAGGGACTGAACAGCCTGTTACAACGGACCTCCAATCCCATACTCACGGAGCACCCCCCACAGTGTACCATGAGGAACAAAGTCAAATGCCTTCTCCAAGTCCACAAAACACATGTAGACTGGATGGGCAAACTCCCATGATCCCTCAAGGACCCTAGTGAGGGTAAAGAGCTGATCCAGGGTTCCACTGCCAGGATGGAACCAACATTGTTCCTCCTAGATCTGAGGTTCGACCAACAATCGGACTCGCTTCTCCAGTACCCCTGAATAGACCTTACCAGGGAGGCTAAGGAAAGTGATGCCCATATAATTGTACACCCCTTTTTGAAGAGGGGAACCACCACCCTAGTCTGCCAATCAGGTGGCACTGCCCACAATGTCAATGCGACGTTGCAAAGGCGTGTCAGCAAAGACAGCCCCACAACATCCAGAGCCTTAAGGAAATCAGGGTGAATCTCATCCACTCCCGGAGCCCTGCTGCCTCTGAGCTTTTTAACTACCTCGGTGACCTCAGCCACAGTTATGGACGGATCAACCCCAAAGTCCCCTGACTATACTTCCTCCATGGAAGATGTGCTGGAAGGAATGAGAAGGTGCAAGAAGTATTCTTTCCACCTCCTGACGACATCACTGGTTGAGGTCAACAGCACCGCACCGTCACTGAACACAGTGTTAGTAAAGTGCTGCTTTCCCCATCTCAGCCGCCTGATGGTTTGCCAGAATCTCCTTGGAGCCGATCGAGAGTCTCTATCCAAGGTCTCACTGAACTCCTCCCACATCCAAACTTTTGCCTCAGCAACAGCCAAGTCTGCACATCACTTGGCCCTCCGGTACTCCTCAGCTGCCTCCAGAGTCCTATTGGCCAACAAGGCCCAATAGGACTCCTTCTTCAGCTTGACAGCCTCCCTAACCCAGGGTGTCCACTACTGAGTTCGTAGATGGCCACCGCGAGAAGCACCGACAACCTTGCGGCCAGAGCTCAAGGCAGCTACCTCAACAAGCAAGGCGTGGAACATGGCCCACTCAAACTCAATGTCCCTCAGCTGGGATGTGGTTAAAGCTCTCCCGGAGGTGTGAGTTGAAGATCTCTCTGACGACCTCATATTATTTATATAAATATATATATATATATATATATATATATATATATATATATATGTATACTGTAGCTGTTAAGGCATTTTAAACCCTTCCTATATTCTTGCAATATTCTAAACAATGTTTCTAAATGCGCTAAAAGAGCACAGAATGTCATGATTTCCCTCTCTTTGCCTCCACTGCTCTCAGCCACCTAAAAGTGCTCTTGGCCATGCTCATTTCTCCGCTATGCACGCAGATCAGCTGATCAGCTGTTCAGCTGTTCAGCTGCAGGAGGAAGTTTAATCTGCAGTAGGGCTGCACAGAGGCACAGGAGGAAGCTTTTTCTACAGTTGTGGGCTGTACAAAGGAGCAGCAGGTGCTAAATAATTTAAAATAAATTGTATTAAATAAAAATTCCATGCCGATTGTGTGACTCATCCATCAATCAGCCAATTACATGTCATGTCCAATCTTATTTTGAAAAACCACGATAGAGCGAATCCGCGATAAACGAACCAAGAAGTAGCAAGGGACTACTGTGATATAGAAAGTTTCAATTTGTGAATGGAATTACTGAAATAAATCAACTTTTCATGATATTCTAATTTTATGACCTGCACCTGTGTTATACATACACATATACATACATATATACATACATAAGTTAAAATTATTGTGAAAATATGGTGCCAAGTTTTTGTTTTCACTTTGGAGGTGTTCAAGCCCAAATTGTTGTTTGTTTAAAGTTATTTTATATATTTTTTTAAATAAGGGGCAGATATAAGAATTTTTTCTTCTTTCTGCTTCCTTTTCATTCCATGTTTTTTTTCCTTTTTGATGAATTTGTTTAGTTAATTTTGTTTCTTTTAAATGAATGAATAAATAAATTAAATTAATAAATAATATATACATACATATATGTAAATATATACAAACTTTAATAAATTTGTAATATGATTGTTTCAAGATTTACAACTTTATGCCATGGCTGGGCCCTTTCCTTAAAAACTGGAAGAACGTTATGAAGAATGTAGAAGATGGAAAGGCAGATGTGTGGAAGAAGATAGTAGATCTGAAGGAAACTCTGAACCCTGAGGTGTGCAGATGCCTTGTTGATGCCTTTCTGATTCATAAGAAACAGCTGGAGGTGAGCAATTAAACTTCAACAAGTCCATTTTCATGATGTCATTGTTGATCAACAAGTTTTTTCCATCTTGTTTGTGTCTGTCGCAAGGAATCTGGTATCAGGAATTCACACTACCATGATGATAACTTGGTGTACAGTGTGGCAAATTTATTTGCAGCTGGAACTGACGCCACATCTACGACTCTGAAGTGGAGTCTCCTTTACATGGTCAAGTTTCCTCATATTCAAGGTAAAAACCTCATCTAGGGCCCGTCAAATATTGCAACAATTTACATTAATATTATATAATGCTCATCCAGATCGTGTTCAGGAGGAGCTGAGCAGGGTGGTTGGAAGCCGGCAGGTTCAAATGGAGGACAGGAAGGATTTGCCGTACACTGATGCTGTTCTCCATGAGACACAGAGGTTTGCAAACATTGCTCCAATTGCCATTCCTCACACAACAAGCAAAGATGTCACCTTTCAGGGTTATTTCATTGAAGAGGTCAGCAGCTCACATTGGTTCAGTTTTCACAAAAATGTTGCTTGTTTTAAAAATAATAATGTTACATAAATGCAAATGATAAAATATTTAATGATTTCAACCTAAGGCTTGATTTACCTGCAGGGAACAACAGTTTGTCCTCTCC